AGATGTTTGCTCAGACCCTTCAACAGAGTCGGGGCTTTGGCAGCTTCAGGTAACTAGGTTTCAGTGGGCAGTGCTTAATTTGTCTTGGATAACTCTACAGCCAAGGTAGTTGGAGCCCTAAGGAGGCTAGAATGGGTAGTTGTGAAAATCCTAAACAAGCCCTGCCCTAACCCTCTTTTTTGCCTCTGCTCTCGTGCAGATTCCCTTCAGGAAACCAAGGTGGAGCTGGCCCCAGTCAGGGCAGTGGTGCTGGCACAGGTGGCAGTGTGTACACGGAAGATAACGACGATGACCTGTATGGCTAAGTGGTGGTGGCCAGCGCGCAGTGAGCTGGCCTGGCTGGACCTTGTTCCCTGAGGGTGGGGGCGCTTGCCCAGGAGGGACCAGGGTGCGCCCACGGCCTGCTCCGCTCCTCGGTCTGAACAGTTCAGCCGCAGCCAGATTCTGGACCGGGGCTTGCTGTTGCAAAAAAATACAAAACAAAAGCGATAAAATAAAAGTGATTTTCCATTTGGGAGGCGGAGAATGAATTACCATCAAGAAATTGGGCCTTGGGCCCATGCTCTTTCTGTTGTAGTTTGGGGCAGTGCAGGGGACCTCTATGGGTGTGAACAAAGGCATTATCGCCATTCCCCACGGTAAAGCATCTGCACTTCACTCAATGCTGCCCAAGCCCTCCCTTCTTCCCCCTACCCAACCTGGGTAGGAGGGTGAAGGGCTACAGTTGCTGAGTGTTTATATAGAGAGTAGGTTGGTTCTTATTTTACATGCTTTTGAGTTAATGTTGGAAAACTAATCACAAGCAGTTTCTAAACCAAAATGACATGTTGTAAAAGGACAATAAACATTGGGTCAAAATGGAGCCTGAGTCCTGACCCCTGTGCCTGCTTCTTTTCCTGGGAAGGGCCTTGGGCTACTCCAAGAGTGCCAAGGCACTCTTCCAAATGTGAAATTCTAGAATTAAGATTGCACCCTCTTCCCCTACTGATAAACATTGGTATACTGCTGCCTCGCCCAGTGTCTGCAGTATCACTGGATAGGACTGCAGTGGAGGGAGAGCAGCCTGATGGAGCTCCAGATGTGGTGAATGTGGGATCCTCTACCTGTATTTGATGTGGATGGTGAGATTAGGCCTGCAGAGTCCCCTTTTCCTGACCAAGGCTGAATTGGGGTGTCCTCCAAAAATCTAAAAGTTGTAGAAAGATACAGTTTCTGTCTGGAGATGGATGTTCTCTTGATGCATCTAAAAATTTCATATATTCATGTTCTGGTTGAGGATCACTTACAGTTATGTCCACCTTTATGTAATTTGTATTATGAAAACATAGCTTTTTTTCTAATATAAAATTCTAGTATTGGATGTGTTTCTTTCTAAACGAAACATCCTCCCCTGCTCCTCGTTTTTCAGATGATTGCTTGCATAGTTTTGTCCAGGTATAGAGTATCCTCTTCGTTCAGCAAGTACTAACGTAATCACTTCGTGCTTTTGGGATCAGTACCTCGATGCCTTATCGAAGAAGGAGTATGGTGCAGAGAAAATAATCCACTGAGTCAAATTAGTCATTCTAGTACTTATACCAGCCTCTGGTTTGATCTACATAGGTAGGTAAACTACAAGGACTCAAGATAGTCTGATTAAACTAGGGGTGATTAAACTAGGGCATCTTGAACTCATGTGCTGTGAAATAGATATTCTTGCACTTTTGTGATTTGCATTGACTGTCCCTTGTGACACTTCCTCCACTGGATCCTGTCTTTGGTCCTCCTTTGGTTTTCCTACCATTTTAGGTATCCTGACGGCTTAGCTTTCAGTCTTCCTACTCTGGACATTGTCACTCTATCTCATCCCTGTGGCAACCTAACCTCAGTAAGACCAAAGACAAGGTCTTTTGTGGTAAAGACATTTGGTACCTCTGCATCAAGCTATGGGAACAGAACAGAAGGCAAGATCCCACAAAATAGGTAGAGGTACTGGATGATATGTGATAGAAATTTGTGTTGGAATGATTGCTTTGCACTCACTTATAACACGAAGTGTGTCTATAGGGAAGGTGGTTGGAGCTTTATAGATTCTTTAGGAAAAAAATAAGAGCAGACTTGTGAGAGGCCTGGTTTTGCTTCTCACACTTGTGCATATAGCAGTGTAGTGTCACACAAGGCACGGAGCTCTTCTGGGGCCTCGAGATTTCTTAGTCTGATAAAATGATTGACAGTGCTTCGTAAACTGTAGAAAGCAGTGTGAGGGACTGTTTATTGTCAAAATGCACCTGCAGAAGCCTGCATACTTAAACCAAGAGGCAAATTGTATAGGCAGTTCATCTTTCTCCCCACAGGGTTCCCAGAAAGAAATTGGAATGTGATCTTACTATAGCCATCTTCCCACAGGATAAGTGCTGTGATTAGAAGATGGGTTTCTAACCAAAAATATGGCATCAAATTAGATCATGGAGGACCAACAGTTCACCACAGAGGCGAAAGCAAAGATGGAACTATAAATCTAAAATCTTGAAATATATTGGGGTCCAAGACACTGATCCTGCAAGTAGCCCTGAGAGTAGTGGTTACATGGTGCCCAGGATGCCAGTCATTAGTTTGACCGAACTGAACAAATGTTAAATGGTTTGTTAATCTTGCCCGGCCCTACAACCTACTGAGGGCTTAAAAAGACTTAAGAATATAGGACTTGGATGTTTCATAAAGCTATTCAGAGTTGCATAGACTCATTAAATGGCCCTATGTCAAGTGGAAATTCAGAATTGCATTGTCTTTGAGACTATGAGACTATTTTTCTGGGGGTGGATAGGTGGGGAGAAGGAAAGTACCTTCAGTTTCACTCCTGGCCAGCAGGTGGTAAGTTGGGCTCAGACCCTATAGACAAGTTAGGGCTAAATAAAACTTTGGAACAGAATAGTAACATTAGTGAGAGGAGGCAGAGGGAAACATGTACCTTCTGACTGTTTTTCTCAACCAACTATACAGAGTAGAGCGAATGTTATGATTGGGAAGAGCACTGGTTTGGGAGTGTGAACTTGACCTCACAGAACCTCACTGTCTTTGAAGGACTTGATAGCCATAATATCAGGAAAGCAGTGCTATCAACAAGACATAAATTGTTATGGGGCTGCAAAGAAGGGGAAACCGTACTAAGGAGAATCTGAGAAGGCTGTGGAGGCAGTCTGAGCTGGGGGTTAAAGGAAGATGGGAGGCTTGACATGGGGTCAGAGCATGCTTAAGAAGCATCAGGTTGACTAGCAAGGGAGTGAATTCTGAGAGGCCAAACCACATTGTGAAGAACCTCACATGCCAGGTGTGAACTTTATTTTAATGATCTTGTGGGTCCTCTGGGGGTTTAGGTAGGAAAGTAACCGTCAGATTTCAGGGCTAGAGAACTTTTTTTTCTTTTTTTGTTGTGGCAAAATAACATAAAATTCATGCAAAAATTTCCAAGTGTACAGTACAGTATTGTCAACTACATGTGCATTGTTGTGTATAGACGATTCACTTTTTTTTCATTGACAGTTCACTTTTTTTTTTTTTTTTTTTTGCCTCACAGTACGGCTTGTGGGATCTTAGTTCTCCGACCAGGGATTGAACCCAGGTCCCCGCAGTGAAAGCACTGAATCCTATCTGCTGGACTGCCAGGGAGTTTCCAACAATTCACGTTTTTTTTTTTTGTTTTTCTTCAGTACACGGGCCTCTCACTGTTGTGGCCTCCCCCGTTGCGGAGCACAGGCTCCGGACGCGCAGGCTCAGCGGCCATGGCTCACGGGCCCAGCCGCTCCACGGCATGTGGGATCTTCCCGGACCGGGGCACGAACCCGTGTCCCCTGCATCGGCAGGCGGACTCTCAACCACTGCGCCACCAGGGAAGCCCAACAATTCACTTTTTAAAAAACTTTTATTTTTGGGAATTTCCTGGTGGCCCAGTGGTTAGGACTTGGTGCTTTCACTGCCATGGGCTCGGGTTCAATCCCTGATTGGGGAACTAAGATCTGTAATGCAGCCAAAAATTATATAGTATTCCCAATAACCAGAGATAATCTTTTTTTTTTTTCTTTTTTAGATTGGGGCGTGAGGTTAAAGGAGGAGTCAGGAGCAGGCTTCTGGCTTCAGTACTGGGGTGGATGTTGTACACCCCTTCAATAGGAATTCGCACATTGGAGGACAGGGTTAAAGGGAAAATGAGTAAGTTTTAGACAGGTTGTATATGAGACAATACTAGTAGGTGGTAAGATAGGTGGATCCTGAAGCCTAGAGATGGTTAAAAAATGACCCATGTTTTGAAATATCGCACTTAATGGAATGGGTTCAAGACACTATGTTTTTAATGGTATTGGTAAAATTGGATATCTTTTTTGGGGGTTGGGGGAGTTAGATTCTCTCCTCATACTGTACTCAAAAATTAGATTAACAATCTAAACATAACATCTATGGGAATTCCCTGGTGGTCCAGTGGTTAGTGCTCTGCCCTTCCACTGCAGGGGACACGGGTTCAGTCCCTGGTTGGGGAACTAAAATCCCACATGCTGCACGGCATGGCCAAAAATAAATAAACAAATGTCCATGAGGGTGCTAGAAGAAAGTGTCTTAGAATCCATAAGGGAACATGTTGGTAGATTTAAACTTTGGCATGGTAAAATCGCTTTAAAATTAGAAAATAAGCTACAGATTGGGAGAAACTATTTGCAGCATATTAACAGGTTGAGTTAATATCTGTGACAGACAGGATAATGCCATTCCCAAACCCCCTGACCAATGCCCACGTCCTAATCCTTGGCACCTGTGAATATATTGTGCTACATGGCAAAAGGGAATTAAAGTTGCAGATGGAAGTAAGGTTGCTAGCTAACTTACTTTAAGATAGGAAGAGTATCTTGGATTATTGAGGTGGGTCCAATGTAATTAAAAGTGTCCTGAAAAGTGGGAGAGGGAGGAAAAAGTGATGTGAGAAGAACTTGACTTGCCTTTGCTAGCTTTGAAGATGGAGGAGGAGGGCCAATAGCCAAGGAATGTGGGCAGCTTCTAGAAGCTGGGAAAGACCAGGAACGAATCCTACCCAGTGCCTATAGAAAGGAATGCGGCCCTGCCAACCTCTTGATTTTAGCCCTGTGAGACTTCTAATAAAATTAATTTATGTTGTTTTGTGATAATTTGTTATGGCAGCAGTAGAAAAGTAATAAAATACCCAGCAAACAATGCAGTAGAAAAATGGGTATACGATATGAACAGGCAATTATAGAAGAAATTCAGCGATCGCTAAACATATGAAAAGGGACTTGTTTTTGTGGCCTTGGAGGTGCATGAGCTAAACTAGAGAGAGAAAAGAGCAGAGGGCTGACAAGAATTGGCTAGAAATATATGTGGGGAACTTGTGTATCAAGTATGTGAAGAAGGGGACCATACCCAGGACCAAGAGCAGCTGCCTAGACCCAGACCAATTGTGCTCGTGTGAATGGATATATTTTTCTTCTGTTGACTTGCTGTGAAGTTTTTCTCAAGGGCAGCATTGGTCTGTGCTCCCCTGGCCTTAACAGCTTCACCCTGTAGAGTGAGGACTCCAGGTTGTAGACTCCAGGTTGATCATCTGTGAACAGCTTGAAAAGAAAGTTAAGCCTATAGAATCCTGAGCTCTCTACTTCTGGGACCTGATCCTGAGGAGATACAGCTGCAGCAGAATAGGGAACCGTCATTTCCAGTACCCCAGACTCCAGAAAAGACATGAGTGGGGTTTGTCTAGTTCAGCTAGTTTATTAGGATTTCCTTTGTGTCTCCACCCCCCAACTGGTTTGGCTTCAGGTCTTGGGGTACTTATATTGGGTGCCAGTACTACCAGCCTTTTCTCTGCTGACTGGATTTGGTGGGCAGGGGTCCATGGGTACCCAGAAATTTGGCTAACATCCTTTGGAGACCCCTGGTAAGGGGAGCCTGAGGTGTGGGGGAGGAAAGATGCTTCTGGGCCCAAGGGCAGTGCTTACAGTGACGAGGGGCCAGGATGTCACCAGCTCCCAGCCTTGCCCCTCTCTGACCTTGGGAACCTGAAGCCTTGGAGTGAGGCTGCAGGGAGGGAGCAGTGTGTCGAGAGCTCTGGTCCCTGTGCTGAGATCTTTGCAAAAGTCTGCTTACAGGGACCTCTGCTAGTCTGGCCTGGGCTAGGTGGCTTTTCCCTGTAACTGTGGTTGAGCCCAATTTTGCATCCCCTTCTCCGTGGTCTCCTTTAGGTTTCCTGGGGCGCTCTCTCTTTTTGGCTGAAGACAGGGCTGAAGCCTTGTCCTGTCTCTTGCCTGAGGCTGGAACCTCAGGGTATGAGGGTTCTTCCAGGCCCGGGCAGTGAACACATGACCCCTGGGATGACATCTTCACATTCATTCTTTGCTCTTTCTGAGGCTCTTGTTCTGCCCTGCCAGACTTCCATAGCTGAGGTTGGATAGAGGAGTGGGAGTGATAACAGTGGGGGACCTGGACAGGCTGAGTTACTGTGCTCTGAGGTTTAGGGGGATGACAGCTTGAAGAGTTGGGGCACAGACTGAGGGGATGAATCTGCTGTGGTGGGCAAGAAGAGAGTCTCCGGGTGGCTTGAGTTGTGGAGCTCAGGGCAGGGGAGCTGCCAAATGATTGACTTGGGCCAAGAGATCTGGAAGCAGGGCTCTGCTCTAGTTTCTTCAGCCTGAGTTCCAGCTCTTTACTCCAGTGCCAGGCCTGGACCCCAGAGTGGGTGGGCATCTTTGGGACAGCCTCACCCTGGGAGGATGGAGTCTCTGCCTTAGCCCCTGGGAACAGCTCTCCCTTGGGTAGGCCAGGCTGGTTGCACTCAATCTTCAGAGCTTCAGCTTGGGTGGGAGGCCAGGGTATTGGCTGTAGGGGATCCACTGCTGGAAGGCTGGGGTCCTGGGGGATCCCTCTTTGTTGCACATTCCTCCACACAAACTCAAGGTCAATGTGTGGATCTGGTAGAGGAGCAGAGAGTGACCTGGGGGTTGGGGCTGGGAGTTCAGTGGTGCAGCAGTTCCCTCTCTGCTCCACTGTTTCCCCCTCAGGTTTACAGTTGCATTGGTCTCCAATAGGCTCACTTGTGTGAGACTTTGACATAGAGTTTGGGCATGGGCTGGGACCCCACAATGGGGACACAGGAACACAACAGGTTTCTTTCTGCTCCATGTCCCCCGCAGTAGGCTCAGAGTCAGATTTGACTCCCAAGGGGTTGGCTCTACATGGGTCTTGGGGTAAGCTGCAAGCCAGGAGCTCAGAGGCCCAGGAGTTCTTTCTCCTTTCTATGTCCCCACATGTAGCTTCAGAATCAAACAGGACCCCCGTAGGGCTAACTCTGAGGGAATCCAGTAAAAGAACTGCGGGCGGGCTGAAGGCCAGAGATAGCGATTCAAAAGCCCAGGAATTCCGGGAATGATCAGTGTCCTTCCATGCAGTTTCTGACCCAGTGAGCCCTCCCACAGGATTGATTCTGTGGGGTTCTAGAATAGGAACTAGAGATGGGCTGTGGCCAGGGCCTGGAGATTCTGAGGTCCAGAGGTTGTCTGTCTGCCTCATGGCCTCCCACAAAGCTTTGGACTCAGACAAGACTGCCTGGGCACCCGTTCCTAGGGACTCCAGCAGAGAGGCTGAGGGAAGGCTGGGAGATGAAACTGGGTCTGCAGAGACCCAAAGATTTTCTCTACTCTGCGTGCCCTTCCACGGAGTCTCAGATCCTGATGGGACACATGCAGGCATGGTTCCATGGAGTCCTGGGTCGACGTCCAAGGCTGAGGGCTCAAAGACCCAAAGGTTTGTTGAATTTTCTCTGCATCTCCACTGGGGCTCATATCCAGATGGATCTCCCAGGGGACTGCCTCCCTGGAGTTCTGGCAGGGGATGTGGGGGAGGGCAGGGGGCTGGCGTTGGGGGCTGAAAGGCTTGAGTACTCTCTTTATGTCCTGTGGTTCCCCACTGAGTCTCATATACAGGTGGAACTTCCAGGGTGCTGGTTCCTTGGGGCTCTGTCATGGGGGCTACAGATTGGCAAGGGACTGAGGTCGGAGGCTCAGAGATCTGAGGATTCTCTCTTCGCCTTGTGGTTTCCCAGAGGGCTTCAGGTCCAGAGAGGCCTCCTATAGGGCTGGCTCCTTGGCATTCTGGCAGAGAAGTTGGGGTTAGGCTGGGAGTTGGCACTGCTGGCTCAGGGGTTTTGGGGTCCTCATTTTGCCCCGTGGTCCTCCATGGGGCCTCAGACCTAGTTAGGGCTCCCAGAAGGCTAGCAGGATTTTCTGCTAGGGAGGCACAGAGTGAGTCTGGAATGTGTTGTTGGAGGCCAGGATCCCATGGCACCTTCCACCAGACCTCAGATGAATGGAAGAGTTTGGAGGGCCTGGTTCTTTGGAGGTTAGGCTGTGGGTGCAGGGCTTGATCCTCAGAGACCCAAGGGACCTCTCTCTGCTGTGTAAGCCACTGTGTGTTTGCCCCAGTGCCATATAGGACTCTCTTATGGTCCATGGGAAAGAATTTAAGTTGGAGGGGAAGTGATGGGACAGGAGGGGAAGATGGGGAGGGAAGTTGCTGAGGGTCAGAGGCCGTTCCTTCCAGATCTTCTGTAGTATGGACTTCATGTGTAGGAAGTGGGGTTGGGGAGCAATACTGGGGAAGCAGCAATACTGGGGTTCTAGGCAGGAAGGCAAACTTGTTAAAGAAGACAGAAGGACTGACAGACAACTTCAGGGGAGAGAGGCCACCTGAGCTCAGGAAGATGGCCTCCAAGGACTCACTGTGCAGAGAGGGGAGACCCCAGAAGAGCTGGCTTTCTCTCTGCTGTAGGTGGCTCCCTGATGCTGTCTTGTGCCTCACAGGCAGGTTGGTCAAGATCTGAAAGGTGGGGAAGGATCTGGAAGGGTTTGGGGTCTGCGTGAGTACTTGCTCTAGTGTCCCTATGGACTTGTGGAGGCCCTCAGAATCACAGGATGGCTGGGATGGGGCTGTGGTGGCTTGTTCTCCAATAGGAGCTTCTTTGGGAAGAGAACATGGCTTCAGTGGATCCAGAGATACCTCCTCTTCTTCTTCCTCCCCTGACTTCTGCTTCCACAGGTGATCAAGGAAAGCCACGCGGTACAGAAGTGGTAGGCCCTGGGGAGTGGAGAAAGATACAATCTTTCTGGGGAGTGGAGAAAGATACAATCAGGCATGAAGCCTTTTTCAGAGACACAAGATGTACCGTTAAGCCCTCAGTCTTTGTTCTACAGTGAGTGAACAGTTACTCACTGGGGCCCACATCTGTGGACAATAGTCACTTACCCATCTGGTGTTAATGGCCATTACCCAACTACATTTGGAGATCGGCATTCCCTTACATAACCCCACATCTAGGGTCAATGATCATTCAGCTGGCTTGAAATCTAGTGTTAATGGTCACTCACCCAGCCTCACATTTAAGGCTTATAGTCACTCTTTTGAGCCCACATTGATGTCAATGATTCCTTACCTGAACTCATGTGGTGAGTCATTTACCCAGCTGCACACCTATGTCACCCACCTTGCCTTGCATCTTGTCCCCAGAGTACCAGGGCTGAAGCTGTCGCCATCTCCCAAGCTGCCACCACCTCTGGATCTGCCAAACCACGAACAAGAATAGTGTTACCAGGTTCCCTGGACTCAGAAGGCAGCTGCTGCCACAGTGTCTGCAGGCCAGGGCATGGGTCAACTGGCCCCAGAGAAGCCCCATGTCCCCCTCAGCCCCAAGCAGGCCCTCTGGCAGCCATTCCATTTTCCTCAGCCTAGTGGCAGTTTACCCTGAGGTCATCACTGCATCACAGAACAAAGAACTCCCATCCCCCACATACCTAACAGCAGTCTCTGTGAATTTAGAGCCCAAAAATTGCGCCCACCAGACAACTCATACTTTATTCAGTGAAAGCTTAGTGATCCCCTTTTGTCTTGATTAACAAGGTCAGAATTATCTTCAGGCATTGTGGTTGAGGACATGGATTCTAGCATCAAACTACCTTATTCAAATCCTAGCTCTGCCACTTCCTACCTGTGAAATCTCAAACTACTTTATCTTTCAGTGCCTCAGTTATCTCATCTGTAAAATGGGGATAATATTATTACTTACCACATAGTGTTGTTTTGAGGGTTAAATGAAAACATTTATATGCTTAGAGTAGTATATAGTATATGCTATGTTAAAACATTATTTCTTTTTTTGCCATAAATGATCAATAACCAATCTATAACAAGAATAGAATAGAGGAGAGTTTTATTTGAGCCAAGCTGAAGACTGTAGCCCAGGAGACAGCCTCTCAGATAGCTCTGAGGAACTGCTCCCAAGAAGCTTGTTTTCCAGCACAGCTTTATATCTTGTCAGAACAAAGGACATCAAACATGACAGGGGTACATTCCTTCAACGTTTCAAAAAACACAGATTAGCTCGTACACAGCAAGTCAGTATGACCTTGGTGCCTGGGAAGGGAGCCTTATCGTCAAAGGAGTACTAGCATTGACATCCCAGGAAGGAAGGCATTTATCTCTAATTTCATAACAGATATTCTTTACTTCTGGACAATGCACACTTTATTTTTTTTTGCACGCTTTTCTTTAATGGTTAAAGCAGATGTGCAATGTATGTTTGATAGACCACAAGACAGGCTTGTAGTTAGTATAAAGTTCAAGTCAAATCATATATAAGCCAGAATGACTTCCCTATACCTCAGTATATGAAAATTTCTTCCATCACTTTTAAGGTTCCTGATTATACACCTCATTTCATCTTTAATAGATGGAGTCTGTTTCCTCTTTTACATCTCATGTCTTTAGGTTGCCTGAGACCTTTTCCACAAATATTCATGTTAAGGATGACAAATCAAACATGCTTGACCCTTTTTTTTTTTTCTTTTGCCCCTCTTTTCCCTAAAACCACCACTCTGTTTCATGTCAACTCCTCTTTTTAGGGTCAAACTTCAACATCTGCCTTTACAGTCCAATTCAATGCCTCTCTTCTCACCCCATCCCCCATCAACTGCCAGCTTAGTCTGGTAGGAAGAGCGCTGAGCTGAAGTTGAGGAGACTTGGATTTTCTAGCTCTGCCACTGTTTGGCCATGTAATCTTGGGCAAGAAAGTTTTCTCCATGGGTACCATGATTGGGACTAGATTTATTCATTCACTCATTCAGAGAATATTTATTAAGTGCTTACTATGGATCAGGTATCGTGCTCAGGCTTGAGGAGGCAGAAGTAAGACAGGGTCTCTGTGCTAAAGTAGGTCCCATTTCAGTGAGGGAAACAGTCAAATAATAGACAATTAAAATAGAGATATGTACAGGGTATTAAGGGGTGTGGAGGACATCTAACCACCTTGGGGTAGGGGGTTGCTTGTCAGGGGGTGCTTCCCAGAAGAGATGACCAGTGCTTGGTTTGAGGAATCAAGAAAATGAGAGTGTAGGGAAGAGGGGACAATCCAAGCAGTAGAAACAGCCTGTGTAAAGGTGGTGGGTCAGAGAAACCACGTCCCATTAGGGAAATTGAAGGTGTTGCAGTGCAGCTGTAGTATTAGTTGAGGGTTGGGGAAGCAGGAGGATAGACAAGATCACAAAGGGCCCTGAATACCAGACTAAGACGTTGGAAATTTATCCTGAAGGTGATGGGAAATAATTGAAAATTTTTGAGCAGGGAAGAGACAAGATCAAGTTTGTGTCTTGGAAAGAACACTCTGGCTATATTGAGGGCAAAGAGATTGAAGGCAAGAGATTGGTTAGGGAAACTTTGCTTTAGTTTAGGCAAAATGAAAGATGAGGCCTGAACCAAGGCAGTGATGATGGGAATGGAGAATAACAGGTTCAAGTAGAATTCTAAAGTTATAGTTGATTAGACTTAGTTACCAGTGGGATAGGGTGGAGTAGGGAGGGAGTTGAGAATGACTCTAGGGATTCTGACTTGGGGAACTGGGTGTGTATGTTAGTGACATTTTACTGAGGTAAGTAACACAAACCTGGTAACCAATTTAGGGTGAGGGGACAATGTGTTCCATTTTAGACATTTGCATTTGAGGTTCCTGTGACAAGGAAATGTCAGGCAGGAGGCAGATAGATACATGTATCTGAAGCTTGGGAAAGTAGTCTGTGGGGGAGATATAAATTTGACAGCCACCAGTATATATGTAGCAGCTGAAACCATAAAACGGCTTGAAGGTACATACTGAGGGGCTTCCCTGATGGCGCGGTGGTTGGGGGTCCGCCTGCCGATGCAGGGGGCGCAGGTTCGTGCCCCGGTCCGGGAGGATCCCACGTGCCGCGGAGCGGCTCGGCCTGTGGGCCATGGCCGCTGGGCCTGCGCGTCCGGAGCCTGTGCTTCGCAGCGGGAGAGGCCACAGCAGTGAGAGGCCCGCGTACAGCAAAAAAAAAAAAAAAAAAAAA